AAAATTCCCCTCAGTCCCCGCAACCGTCGGTTGCGCTGGCCTCGGTGCGAGCACCGATCCCTCTCTCTTGTGCAATGGAAGGGCGCGGCATCGGGCAGCTGTTCCCCAGGGCTGGGCACCTCTTCCGTATAATTTTCCTCTGTTGCCCCTCTGTCCTCAGACAGAGAAGCCCCTGAGCGCACTCTGTCCAAAGACACACACAGCTGAGAGATGATAAGTAGATGTGTACCTACTCAAAAGAGTAAGGTATACATATACACACACACACACACACACAAAACACATAGAGAGAGAGATTGAGAGAAAGAGAGAGAGATGGTATTTGTTGCTTGTCCGGATCGTGGAGGATTGTTAAATGGAAAGTCGGAAATAATGTCTAAATGTAGGCATATTAATGAATATATTCTCGGTTTTTACGAACCCGAATGAAGATTAACAATGGGGAGTAGAAGGAAGAAAGGATTAAAGGAAGGAGTGGTAGCGAGAAGGAAAGAAAGGTTTGTTTGTTTTTTGTTTTTTTGCCACTCCTCCTTCAGTGGATTTTCCGGTAGTAATATCAGGTTTCGGGGCGTTATTATTAACATATTTTATTTTATTATGTTATTTTCCCAACCACCTGATGAAAACCTGAGTAGTGAATAGGTAAATAATTTATTCCTTTTATAATATATATATATATATATATATATATATATATATATATATATATATATATATATATATATATCCCACAGTATGAAGAAAAAATATACTGAAAAAATATACTTTTATATATAAAAGATTTCAGTTATCTGTTTGGATTGGTATTGCTTTCATGTCCATCGTCTTTTTCATGGTCTATGTTAATTATGTTTTATGAATATGTCCTGAAGATGGTCTATTAGACCGAAACGTCCGACGTTGACATTAAACATTAAAACAGCATAATCGCATATTAGGATTTTTGTTTGTTTTTTCAGTATATTTTTCTTCACACACACACACACACACACATATATATATATATATGTGTGTGTATATATATATATATATATATATATATCCGGTGCGTAAAAAGTTCTCGACCTGACCCACCTCCCAAAGACTGGCCAAATGACCAAACATAAGAATATATTTTGGAAGTTTTCCTTTTCAGTAACCTCACCCCGAACATGTTCACTGTCATATTTGATGTTTATGACCAACGGACGACACATTTATGATAAAATTATTCAGGTTCAACATTGCATACAAATGAGTTTTTGTAAACGCAGTTTAATCTCTAACGAAACACACACACACACACACACACACACATATATATATATATATATATATATATATATATATATATATATATATATATATATATATATATATATATATGGTGGACATTTAGTTCGACATCTGAGAACAAAATAGTTCAGTCTAGAACTAAACAACCAAACTCTTGGCAAAGATGTTTTGATCATGGTGTTGAAGGTATGTGCAGAACTGGCCACAGTTTACGGAAAGAACTGATAAGATTAATGGTACCCCACCTCAGATTTCCAAACAGCCATGCTTCTCATGTTTTATTGTCTCAGTATTTAACCTCTTGAAGAATACAAGAGCAAAAACTGCACATGTTGGTAAACATGATCCTCGCTGGAAAGACAGGCTGCCTCAGAAGTCTAACCTTACCCATATAGATGATTTGAATATAGAAATGAAAGTACGTATAGTGAAGGGGGCCGTGTTGTGACTATTGTATCATAAATTCTTAGAACAGATCTCCTCCCCATGCTTTATGGTCATTAAGTTTAAGACTACACCCCAGGGAGGGGATTCAAAGCTTAAAGACATGTGAATTCGGAGTTATCTTTCTTCCGCAACGACTGTCACCATGAAATATGAATTCCTGCATTTTCGGGGACCTTAGCGTCGGTTTTGAATTTGCTAACCAGTCGCTTCCTCTGTAACTAAATGGCATAGCACAACAGGCCAAATGACTGTGCAGGATACAGGTTCGAGTCCTGTCAGAGGACACACATTTTCTACGAAATTTCTCGGACATTCAGGCCGGAAAATGTAGTTAATACTGTTTATTACAAACAGAGCATTTACTTAAATATTTGTATCTATAAAAATAACATATAAACAGAATATATATATATATATAATATTATTATTATTAAAACATGTTTCAATACTTTGATTGTACTTCTTCAGGCGATAGTAAGTGACTGGTGATTAAATGATTTTTAAGAAAATTTAAAACAAAGTGTAACCTCTTTAAAGTTTAGGGGAAACATAAGGTCAGAATTAAAAATAGACTTGTGGGTATGTCTTGATTAAACAATTAAACGTCAGATCTGCTTTAAATAGAAAAATAAGCTCAGAGGGTCGAGCTGGGTGAGTTATTTTTTCATGCAATGATAAACCAGGACATGTCTATTGACAAATGCGGTAAAATATGTAAGCGAGAAATGTATCGTAATTGTTCACAATTTTTTGAAACGGTGTTGAAGGGCGAGGTGGGTTAATCAGACATAGTTTTTTTTTTTTTTTAATTTTATATTCAGGGAGCTTCTTAAATGGGTCTGTAGATAAAATTAAAAATGTGGAACATCTAAATAAGATATTAACAATACAAACCGTACAGCAATACATAGCAATATTAAAGCTAAATAAACAAAATAAAGGTATATATATATATATATATATATATATATATATATATATATATATATATAAATTATGGCTATAAGAAATGTAATACGTAATTTGTAAAATGAAACTATATCTTGAGGTAAAAAACAAACTGTCAGCAATTTACAGTCAATTCATTTTAATAGGGATTTTTTGTATATCATCGTAGATTTTATATTTAATCGTAGATCCTGCGAGATCAATAATCTGAACAAGGCCATCATGCTCCAAATCTCGGTCATGATAACTTGTGATTCGTGATAGCACAGGCATACATGATATTTGAGATTTTATATATATATATATATATATATATATATATATATATAATCGTAGATTATATATATATAATTTTTCGCTTGAGGATGAAACAGGGTTTGTTACTTTAATTCAATTCAGTTTTAATAATTATACAGATGGTTTCGGCTCTCGTTTTTGAAACATGAGAAGTCTTATGTAGCGAAGGAATCATATTTTTTTTAAAATAATTATATATATATATATATATAAGTTCGTAGGTATGCAGAAAATAGAAAAGAACACGTTGGGTGCATAATCCGGGGTTCCTTAGTATTTTTTGTTTTTTATTTTTAAGAAGACAGTGCTCCATACAGAAGTAGAGCTTATATTATAGGAATATTATTATGCGAAGGAATCATATTTTTAAACAAAAAATATTATTATAATAATATATATATATATATACACATATATAATCGTAAGTCGAGTGTGATCAATAATCTGTCGGATTAATAAAAATAAAGTCCATTACCCACTTTAGAAATTGGTTTGTCTACGTTAGGATACGAAACTGTGCAGACATGAATGTTTCAAGAGTTTGAAAAAGTTTTGACTTTTCGTGATTAGCGAAGCATTTCGTGGCTGAGTCAGTGTAAGCACGGCTGATCTAACGACGGTTTCTCCTGCCAAAGAGTATGCTGGTTCGAATCCTCCTAGGGAGCGCACATTTTCTTTTATAAGGTTTCTCGAATTTTCATGACGTTAGATGAAAATAAATAAACGGATCGTCCACTCAAATATGTGTATCCACTAAAAATAACGTTTAAGTAAATATATATATATATATATATATATATATATATATATATATTAGTTACTGCGTTCAATATGCGGTTATACACGGCAGGACAAAGTCTCTAAACCTGATTGTTTCCTCAAATGTGGCATCGGTGGTATCTAATCTTTTCTGATGCAACCACAGTTCAGATGGGCTGGTCATGTCATCAAAATGAGTGATGAGCGAATGCCGAAATGTATAGCCACCTTTTTCATGCTAAGCGTAATATAGGCCGTCATTGGTTACACTTCAAGGACAAACTTAAATACAATTTAATTGCTGCAAACATCCCTATAGAGGAGTTCGAATTCGCTGTTGAAAACCGAGCAAACTGGAGAAATACCTAAGTTTGAAAAGAATCTTCTCAACCATCTGAGAGAATTAAGAGCCAACACTAAATCTCGGTCTAATATATCAACCCATATGACGATCAGCTCTTCAGCATGTCCCTCGTGTGGACTTGTTTGCAAATCCCGTGCAGGATTGTTGTCTCATAGACACTCATATGTCGAAAACGACAGGAGAGTCCATCATATTATCATATATATGAGAAATAAGGACCGTAGAGAAGCACGTTTATATAATACCGACATCCGTCACTCCCGGGAGACTCTGGAGTCTACAAGAAAGTCTTAAAAGATGTCGTCTCTCTCAAATAGTGTAAATTTATTTCTCATATCTACTCTATATAATACTATGGTATTTTGAATTAAAGTTAAAATAAAATAAGAGTAAATTTTGAAATCTCTTGGTGATTTTTTTTTATTTCCTTTTTTTTTTTTTTTTTTTTTTTTCTTTTTTCTCCTTACAGCTGATCTCGATTGTATTTGAACCGTTTTACATTCTATTTGTCTGCCTTTTTGATTTTGATTTTTCATTCAGTCTTTCTCTTTTTTTTTTTCCCCCAGCGCCTTTCATCCCCATTCCAACATTTTTTCCTTTTGTTTTGGTATCTTCTGAACTCGATAAACAAAAGTGAGAAAATTGTCTATTTTGCCGCTTCCCGCGTTCTGCGCCACGCATAAATACACTCACAAGTGCAGGGCCAACCACACCATATTAGATGACAAATTCTCAATCGATACTTAAAGTAAATTATCCATTTCAATAAAAACAAATCGATTCCACTTATCATTTTGTCATGGTCTATAAACGTCAATCTCTGTTCATATCAAATCTAATTCTCTAAATCTGTTCAAAGCAAACTGTTTCCCCCCCCTCAATGTGTTTATATCAGTCTCTCGATATCGGTATGCTCGAATCTGTCTATCCAAATCAATCACTCACTCTCTCTATCTATTTAGATCTTTCTATCTGCCTATCTGCATCTGTTCATATCTATTTCTCTGTATTAGTCTATTCATATCTCTATTTTGTATGTTAATATTCATTTCTCGTACCATCTTGGTGAGTTTACACACACACACACACATATATATATATATATATATATATATATATATATATATATATGTTGGCAGTAAAGTCACTATAGAGTTACTTACAATAGCAATTAAGACAAAGCAATTAATCAACAGTCCAGAAATTTATTAGTAAAATGGTTCTGTTTAATAAAAATACAATGTTATGGTAAACAATAATAAATTAATTATCATTACTATTTGAACTGCAAGCCATCTGCATATAAGTGCATTTTTTTGGTTATACGTAATTGTATAGTGACTTTTTTTTCACCATGTAAACTTGTGTGTGTGTATATATATATATATATATATATATATATATATATATATATATATATATTATACATACACACACACATATATATATATATATATATATATATATATATATATATATAATATTTTTAAGAAAAAGAAAAACCGTTAGTGTAACCAACAGATAACTTGTTAAAATACCTTAACCCTACCTAATAGAAAATCTTCAACAAGGAAAGAAAAAAGAAAAATACCTCAAGACAAGCACCAGCCAATATTCAGTAAAGTTCTCAACGCCTTGATTACCTAGACGAAGTAAAAGAAAAAAAAAACGCTTCGCAACGTTAACTCCTATCAAAAGGCAACCTACGCGATTTTCAGGTGGCTTCACTGGTTAAATGCCAGTTCACTATCAACTACGACCACATTTTACACCAGTTTTTCTCAACCATTCCTTGATGTTGCCGTGTAGTGCATTTGGTTTACCGCTAAAAGCATGCTTATGGCTATACGTTGTGTTTGGTTCTCAAGCTCATGAGGAACATAACTTCGCCCTTTTTGAAATTTTTCCAGTTCACTTGAGATGTTTTTGAATGGCACATTAACTTTTTACGTCAAATCTGTGCTACTCTGACGTGAAACCATTTCAATAACCTCTTTCAAAAAGGCTTCATTCGTGATAGGTCATATTCCCGAATGAAGCTAGTCAGATATGCCTCGATCGCCATTAAATGCCTTTGTAGTAGTGCTGTCTTTTCAGAATACGGTAAGCTCGTCTGAACATTTGCCATGGAAATACTGTCTGAGTATAGAATGCCGAGCAATATTACACGTATAGGTGGAAATTAATTCAAAACCCACATGGCTACGTAAACTATTTGGGATTTGTTTTTATGTGCATTCTTCTTTGTGTTCCATGCTTCTTGACGAAGTGGGTAATCATAGCTCTCCACAACTTCCTTTCTTTTTTATTTCTTAGCAATGTTCGTCATCTTATTGTCCCTTCCGCTCCCTGTTTTGACATCCATTTCTGAAACCTCGTTAGACAGGTTATTCGACTTCTTCTGTTTCTCTTGCCTTCACTATGTCCTGTGAGCGTTAGTTTTTCCAAGCCTTCTTTCTTCAATATGTGTTCTAGAAATTTCAACTGTCTCTTTCTAATTCTAAATTGTCCTTTGTGCTTCCATTGTCTTTAAACCTTGTCCGTAAGCCATTAAAAAACGAATCACTTAAAAACTTGCTCATTATTTTATATTGGCTAATCTCGGATTTAATATAAAGAGCCTATTTAACACCGTTTCATCTCCGTATTTAATCTCTTAATTGCTGTTATTCCCACGTTTAACCTAACCCGGGTTGGTAGTAACTGTTCGGGTCCGAGCTATGGGCAAATAGTACCCCCATACAAAATACTATGAAAGTATAAAAATACATTTTTATATAAAAAAAAATTACATAGCTTCTAAATAACTACACATTTATATATAAAAAAAGTTACCAACAATACCTATTTATAGTAAAATTGCCAACAATATATTTTATCTGTAATTAAAGGCATACAATTGTGTTCAAAATATACTGAAGCCATGAAATCGTGTTCAAAATATCTAGATTTGATCATTAAATAACCCACGGAGGTTGATATGCCGCTAAACAAAATCAATCAGCCGTGTTTAATGTGGACTAAATAAAACCAAAATATCGGTCATGGATCATGAAATCTTTTAGTAAAGATGTAACAGGTGCAAGAAGCATGTGTGACGGAGTAACAGTGGAGTTTCGATTTTTTAGGACGCCAATCTTGATTTTTTTTAACCTTATTCATCCTGGCCTTTCCTCTCCGGCCAATAGCACGGTGTTACCCCGCCAATGCAACTGGGTAGGGCTTTCTTCACCTGTAACACAAGCTATCAACTTACCCAAAATAAATACATGTGAATCAATTGAACATGATATATCATTTACAATATTTCCGCAAAATTCTAAAATAAATTGTTTTTTTTTTCTTTTATCTTCATACACTTGAAAAAGACAATAAAGCCACTAAGACGTAAGGAGGCTACTGAGTGAGAGATTAAGAAAATGAAAAGAATATTAAGGAGTTAGACCAATAAAAGAACAGGAATTAAGAAGATAGAAGATAACGTTCGATATTATATCCAGATTTTTGAAGCTCTGGAAAGCAAAATGTCGGAAGAGATTTCCAGAAGCAAGAAATGCAAGCGGAGAAACTGTTAGCACAGAATTTACAGTTACATCTAGTAATTTTAACTGGACAATAATGAGATCTAGCTGCCAATCTATTACTGCATTTAAATTAGCCAAGTCGAGATACCAAAGAGGAAATTTCATCAGAAGAATTACCATGAAAATATTAGGTTGGTGCAAAATAATGGTTAATAATGTCATTTTTGACATTAAAATACATCAAAAACGACATTATTACGTCATTATTTTTGCACCAATTCATAAAATATAGAACGTACAAGGAAGCTACGTTACTGCAGTTAGAAAGTGATTGAAACTGAGATGCCAGGTAAAGACCGATATCATTACAGTCTTTTGGGGATGTTATCAAGAATCTCTAAATACGTAGCAGAAGCACCAGACCAGATGTGGTAGCAATATTCAAAGCAAGGACTAATAGTAGACTTATGAATTTGTAATATAGATTCTGGCGAGAAAAATTGTCTAGCATGATACAATGAACCAAATTTCTTAGCACCAGACCTAGCAATTGATTCAATATAATCTTTCCACTTCATGAGAGCGGAAAACTTTAACCCTTGAAGGCACAAGGAGTCACACTCGTTACATCAGATTCTTATGAATTTATATTAGGTTGGTGCAAAAATAATGACGTAATAATGTCGTTTTTTGACGTTAAAAAATACGTCAAAAAACGACATTATTACGTCATTATTTTTGCACCAACCTAATAGCAAACAGCATCCATCATTGTCTATTTGTCTTTAGATTCGACACAAGACAAGTGATGAAAATTGGTTTGTTATACGAATCCAAAAAAATTCTGCTTAAGTTCCCGACAGTATTCAATATCTTGAACCCAAGAGAAAAAAATTCTTGTATTTTATAGGATTTAAATGGACTTCTTTATTACGAATGATTTTATCCTTCACAAACTGAAATTCACAAAAGATTGGGTTCGTTTTTAATGGAAGATACAAAAAAAGCTTTTACTGGATAATATCAGCATGTGGCAAATGCAACCCGGTGTATGTGATTTCTAAAAGCAAAGCAAAACATTAAGAAACAAAGATATTCACTAGGAGGAACAAAGGAAAGAGTACCGTATATACCTGAATATAGTTCCAGTTTTTATGATAATTTTTATGCAAAAAATAGGGAATCGCGCCATGCACAGCTACGTTTTGTAAAGAAGTTAAAAATCATACATTTTCGGTGATCGGTTGCACTATACACAGGGAATTTTTTCTGGGGAGGTGGAGGTAAAATTCATGTAAACATCAGGGGCCACATTATGCATCAAGTAGGTTTGTATACGAGTATATACAGTACTTAACTGCTATCTAATGTCAATCGTCCGATATGGCCGTGAATGCTGCGCAATTTCATCGCAGACGTAAAGAATTCTTAAGGCAAACAGAGACGTGGTTCTACTGAAGGATACGGGAGATACTATAGACAGAACATGCGAGCAACGAGGAAGTTTTAAATAAAATGGAAAGAAAACTGTCACTTGGACTTAAAATCGGAAAGAGTTGAAATTTCTGAGACGCATAATGAGGAAATAGGGCTTGGAAATTTGACACTCTCAGGTCATATCAAAGGGACAGAGGTAAACGATGAGTAACCTACCTAACGAGTTTGTATAAATGGAAAGCAGAACAGGGACTAGAAGCGATGTTAAGAGAACACACATTGCTTAGAAAGTTGTGGAGAGCCATAAACAATCATCTCCTATGATATGACATTAAAAAAAAATTGATCAACAAACTGAAGTACGAATTTCTTCCAAACGCAGGACTTGTCCAAATCTGTCACCCCAATCTTTTCCTCTTCGTCATATATTTCAAGTCTTATTAAAGTAAGCAACGAAGGACTCTCCCAATGTTTTCAATGTATGAGGGACCAGCATCTCTGTTTTTAGAACTTAGAATACACAGATCAGCCGCACATATGATTTGCTGATAGTGATGAAGGCTTGTGCTGAACCAACATCACTTTTTGTAAGATTCAAATACAGAGAACTAGTGCCCACTGTCTCCATACAAGCCCCCCTAGGCTTTAAATTCAGAGTTGACCTTCTCTTAGAACGGTTGCCACCTAAGGCTATAAGACCCAGTCTGTCCTCCTATTTACCCATAGCTGGTGTAAGAAGAGATGGATTCATACTTATTCCAAGGGTATTTGCACACACACACACACACACACACACACACACACACACAATAAATTCTTTTTTAAAATACTGGGGTCAATGAATTGTAGTAAACATCTCCATTTATGATTACTAAATACAGTTTTTTATTTAATAACAGAATCACTTAACCGCATCAAATTAATACAGAATTTTAAAAGATTTAAAAGTTTAATTCTTCAAATAAAAATTTTAAAAAATGCAAAACAATTTCTCCAAAATTTCATTATTCATCGAATTTTTTTTTTTTTTTCGTAAGACAATAATGTCCATAATATTAGGTTGGTGCAAAAATAATGATGTAATAATGTCGTTTTTTGACGTATTTTTTAACGTCAAAAAATGACATTATTACGTCATTATCTTTGCACCAACCTAATATATTCTATTCATAAAAGCATTTAAAAGATTTACTAATTAAATAATGTCTTCTTGCATTTAGGTGTATTACATGTTTTCTTATCTTGATTCAGAGCAGATTTTCAGTAACTGAGGTCCTGTTTTTCAAAAGTAATTTGATGATTTAAATTCTCCAAAGAATTGTCCTTATAAATAATATAAACATTAAGCAATAGAAAAAATAATTTCTCGAAATTTCATAAAAGTAAACAAATGTGGAATAAATGATTATATATAAAAACATTTTCCAAGATTTTCTATAAAAGAAACGTTTAAAAAAATAATTGAAATAATTTCTGAATAAGTCCTGGAAGTTTCATTAAAATCCGACAATTCTATGATTTTAGCATGAATTTCCAAATCGATGTATTTTTGGCGAATTGTTAGAGATACATATATATATATGTTATAAGTATAAAACGAGGAATTCACGTGCACAACGTGTTATGTCCAGAGCATAAATATTCTATTTCTATCAGTCTACCAAACTAATTATCTGTGTCTGTTTCCGTTACACACATTTGTCAGCCATCGACTGGGGAGTTTAATTTAGATTATTTACTGCTGTCAAACTAACAAGACAGATCTGAATTGTGGTGGTGTGATTTCCCATCTGGCTGCATGTTTATATATATATATATATATATATATATATGTGTGAGGTTTAGATTGATTGAACTGAAGAGATGAAGAGATAGATAAATCTGAATAAGTGGAGAGATTGATAGATCTGAATTTCCTAGAACGGAATAGTTTGAGGGTGATAGTTAAATCTGAATAGGATGAGAAATATCTGAATATATTGAAATTGAGATTTCAATAGGTTCATATATATTTACAGATTTTCATGACATAGCGTTCATTTTACCGGCCTTTACTATATTTAAAATATGTTTCCATCGCAAAATTTCTGTTTCGAAACCTAAACTCAAGTCCGAAAGTTCATTTTCAAAATTAAACTTAAAATTTAGAACACGGTTTCATTCTCAAGAGATGTTAGATTCTTAACATCGTTTGAGAATGAAACCGTGCTCTAAATTTTGAGTTTAATTTTGAAATTGAACTTTCGAACTTGAGTTTCGGTTTTGAAACAGAGAAATTTCTGTGTCATGATGGAGACATATTTTTTTAAAAACAATAATTATAATAGGATACTCTACTTTGTATTAAGCATTGTTTTCTTTAAAAATAAAACAAAAAAAAAAAAAAAACTTTGTATTATAAATCTGGCTTTTTTTCCTTTTACTTGAATAATATATATATATATATATATATATATATATATATATATATATATATATATATACATACAAGTTTGATTAAAAAGAACCATCAAGTTCTACTTAATTTTTTATTGTATTTCTCCAATTTCCCGATAAGGCATTGTGTATGAAGTTGTGGATAAATTGTCCAAAATTCATATTTTGTTATTTTTGGTCAAGTACTTTTGACTTTTGTAGTCATTATCAAGGGCCGACTTACAGTACCATATAAAAATCTTATCTGGCTTTAAATAACCTGCAGTGGGTTGATAAGCCGTAAAAAAACAAAGTAATCAATCAATATTCTCTTTCTCTGGCACTTTCCCATTTGTTCATTTTCTTTTTTTTTTCTCCTTCATTATTTTTCACACTATTAATCTTTTTCTTGCATATTTCTATTTCTCTCTTCACTCTCTCTCACTCATTTCCTATCTATCCATCCTAACTAATTTTTCTCTCTTTATACACGTGACTCTATTCTTATCTATCTGTATGTGAATAGCAGTAAGATTATTCTTATCTTTCTCACGTGCTCTCTCTCTCTCATATATATATATATATATATATATATATATATATATATATATATACATATTCTCCAACTCAATTTTTTATATCAATCTATCTTAAAATTTGCTATATATATATATATATATATATATATATATATTTATAGCGGGAGGGACATGTTCACTATCCGGGATAGAACATTTCTCTCTCTCTCTCTCAATCTTTTCATATCTATCTCAATCTTTTCATTTGTAACTATCTTCATTTCTATCTATCTCCTCCTTGTCTTCCATTACCTGATTTTTCCACCTTCATTAACAATTTTCTTTTTATCCAGCTTCATTTGTCTTTGTCTCTTTTCCTTTTCTTATCATTCCCCCCACCCTTGCATTCCTCTTTTCATCCCTCTTTCATTTTTTTTTTCCTTCACCTTCTTTGTTTGATCTATTCCTCTTTCATTCATTTCTATTTTCTTTCTTTTGCTTACTCGCTTTGTATCTTTTTTCATCATCTCTTCTTTCTTTAATCCACTTCTTTATTGATTTTCTTCTTTTCCTGCTTTCTCTCTCTGATATTTCCGTCCACTTTCTCTCCCTTATTTCCTGTGTTTCCTTTCATTTTTTCCCCTGTTTTCTGCATTTGCTTTTTTTTTTTTACCCTATTTTCTTTATTTCCTTCCTCTTTATCCTCCTTCTTTCCAGTCTTTCCTTACCATCATTCCTGCATTTCCTTCTGTTTTCATTCCCTATTTCCTGTAATTCCTTCCATTTTATCTCCATTTCTTTTATTTCCTTCCCATTCTCACCCGACAACAATCTTTCCCGTCATTCCTTCTCCTTTCTCGGAATCTTTCCTGTATTTTTTTTCGTTTTCATTCCCTATTTCCTATATTTAGTTTCATTTTCTTTGTATTTCTTTTGTTTCCTTTCCTATTCTCCATCTTCTATGCTGCCTTTCCATCTCCTTTAACATGACCTTTCCTGTATTTCCTTCCGATGTCATTCTCTATTTCCTATATTGCCTTTCATTTTTTGTATTTCTTTGATTTTCTTTCCCTTTCTCCCCCTCTTTCCTTTATTTTCTTTCCCTTTCTCCCCTTCTTTCCTTTATTTTCTTTCCCTTTCTCCCCTTCTTTCCTTTATTTTCTTTTTTATTTTTTTCTTTATTTTTTCTTTCTCCCTTTCTTTATTTTCCTACATATTTTATTTTTTTTTTCCCTTTTTTCTTCCTTTATTTTCTTTCCCTTTCTCCCCTTTATTTTATTTTTCTTCCCTTTCTCCCCTTCTTTTATTTCCCTTTATTTTTCTTTTCCCCTTTTTCCTTTATTTATTTTTTCCTGCCCTTTATTTTCTTTTCCCTTTTTCCCCTTTCTCCCCTTTCTTTCCTTTATTTTCTTTTTCCCTTTCTCCCCTTCTTTCCTTTCTTTTTTCTTTCCTTTCTCCCCCCTCTTTCCTTTCTTTTTTTTCTTTCCCTTTTTCCTTTCCCTTTTTTCTCTTTCCTTTCTTTTTCTTTCTCCCCCTCTTTCCTTTATTTTATTTTCCCCTCTTTCCTTTATTTTCTTTCTTTTAACCTTTATTTTTTTTTCTCCCATTCTATTTCCTTTTTATTTTTCCTCTTTCATTCCAAATTTTTTATATTTCTTTTATTTTTTTCTTCTATTTCTTTTATTTCCTTTCCTATTCTCCCCCCTCTTTCCTGTATTTCCTTCCGTGTTCATTCCCTATTTCCATTTATTTTTCCTCTATTTCTTTGATTTCCTTTCCCATTCCCCCCCTCTTTCCTTTATTTCTTTCTTTTTTCATTCCCTATTTTCTGTATTTCCTTCAAAATATTTCCTCTATTTCCGTTATTTTCCTTCTCCTTTCTCCCCCCCCCCATCTTTCCTGCATTCCCTTTCGTTTTCATTCCCACTTCCTGTATTCCCTTTCATTTTCCCCCCTATTTCCTGTATTTCCTTCCCTTTCCCCCACTTTCAACCAAATTCTCTTTCCCACTTTCCATCTCGAATACACTTTCCACATTCTGACGGCTTTTACTCCTTAGAGATCCAACGACCGACTTACCTATGTCCATGTTCAACAGCTGACTAACTACCCTACCACTGACCCAGCGTCTGTCTAGCTGGTACATCTGGTAATGGGAGGTATCCATTTTGATGCTCGATCATGCAAACTGTCCTCACTTGACCAGCTTCATATCAAATATAGGAATAGACATATAAGCATTTTTTTTCACATGAAGTCTGGACATGAAATCAGTAAATGTCTGTACCTACTTTCATTACATGCTCACACTTAAACAGCTCTATATATCTGTAATGGCTGAGGTGTCATTTTCAGCGCTTATTAATAACGTTATAAGGTGTCAGCTTTGCAGTGGATGTCATAATATTTCGAATTAATGTAATATTTATGAAGATAATCTTAGACTGGAGGAGGTTTATGTTAGTGGGACACCTAGTGCGAATCGAACTCATTATTTAAACAGCAGTTTAACAAGATCAACTTGTTATCACTGCAGTGTAGATGCCCTATCAGAGAAAATTGATGCAAATTTTTTATATTAATATTATGTCATTGAAAACACACAAGATAGATAATACACAAATGATAAATAGAATCTATATATACGTAATATTTCTTCTATTTTATATATATATATATATATATATATATATAAAGGTATGTATCCTCTTCATCTCCCTCCAGCTATGGGTAAAATAGCAGGACAGACTGGGTTCTATAGCCTTGGATGGCAACTGGTCTAGGAGGACAACTCTGAATTCAAAACCTGCGGAGGGTCGTTTGGGAACCTTGTGGCATGCATTCGGTGCACCAGGTTTCTGTATTCGTCCCTCCAAAAAGTGTGGCTGGTCCTGCACGAGGCCTTCACCACTATAAACAAATCTCATGTGCTGGTGTCGGGATGTCGGTTTCCTGGGGACTTATCGGCTTGACCTCATACGTCGAACGCGACGGGAGAGTCGATTATATATATATATATATATATATATATATAAAATTAGATCAGCCAAACACGCTACATTGGTTTCAATCTTCCGGTATATATATATATATATATATATATATAAATTTTCAGAGAATTTAGTGTATGTATGTATGTATGTATGTATATATATATATACATGTGTGCGTATAATGAATTATATATATTTTATATATATATATCTATAATTTTTATATATATGTATATATATATATATATATATATATATATATATATATATATATATATATATATATATATATATATATATTAGTCCAAATAGTTTAAATAGCAAAACTGCCCAGTTAGATTAAGCTTTGCACCATTTTATTTTAGAAATGATTAAAGAAACTTAAGGGAATTCTCCGAGGTTTTATAACACTATTGTACTGTAATTTGAGCCATAAGAATATATAATTACACTCCAAACATAACAAGAGGAATTGTGATGAAGTCGAGCATAATTAAAAATTGACATATTCGTCATTAATTATTCATAGCGAAGGATTGAAATCAAAAAAATATGTGTTCTGTAGCTGAGTGGTATATCACGTCAGATCAATTAATATTTTCTACGAAATTTCTCGAATATTCAGACCAGTAATTGTAATTAATATTGTCTATTTAAAAAACAGATCCTTTACTTAAATAAATTGTATATATTAAAAATAACGTATAAACATACATACATACGTACATATATATATATATATATATATATAAGAGAGAAAAGGTTATAGTTGTTCCAACGAGAGAAAAATGTATATTTAAAAAAAGAGAGAAATCGCTAACGCTTTAGGTTATAATATGGATTTGTCTATGAAGATGTATCTTATGCTTCATATTTCTGCTACACGGGTTTCCAGTTTTTTAACCTTCTTCAGGCAAATAAAAGGATTCAATTTTGAAAAGAAATAAGTTTTCCTTATGTTTTATTAATATCTCATTGTTCGTTTTCTGTATTTGTATTGTGAGTCTTGAATTCTTTTCTGGATTGTTGGCAAAAGTGAATTTCTGCCTAAGTGTTAATAAAACCATAAGGTTTGGTATGAGAGCTGGTGATATAGATGTGTTGATGAGAGATGTCTTCCTATCCCTGTTAGCCTGCGTATGTAAATTCCCTCCCCATATATACATACTGTCTTATAATAAGGAATATACATACACATATATGCATATGTATATACACATACATTCTTCCTGTGTTCGTGTGTGTGCCTGTGAATAGTCTATCTTTTTTTGCCAATGTATGGATATATATTTTTGTTCTCCATGGATATCTCTTTGCGCGTGCGTACGTGTTTGCATGTGTGTGGTCCAACCAAGTGTATCTGGCCCGCATGTGTGTATACTGTGGGGCTATGGTCTGTTCAGTGCTGGTTTAAATTTGTCTATGAAGTTTTTTTTTTCCTTAATTTGTAGGAAAGAGTAGCTCTTTGTTTGGTATGTTGGCATAATTTTAAATTTGCCTAGATTGCATTTGTTGCGATACAAAGAGTTTTCTGTTGTCGGTTAATTTGATGTTGCTTTAGTGAAGGGCAGCTCTGTTGTTAAGTGCCTGACTGATGCCTATAAATGACTTCTTGCATTTTGTGCATTTGTTAGCATAGATCACATTTTTGGAGTTGCAGTTTAAATTTTTATTTCTTGTGAATGTAGCTGTGGGGTTTTCAAAAGTGTAGGAGTTCCTTTCTATAATGACATCACAAACCCCGCATCGTTTTTTGTTGCATTTTGTGACCCCCTGCATATTGTTTTGGTTAAATTTGGATGAGGTTAATATACGTTTCAGGTTTTTAGATTGACGTTTGCTTTTAATTATTTTGGTTGTTTTTAGTATATTTTACATTTTGTTAATCTTGTTAAGTAAGTCTAGATTTCTTGTAATTTCTGTAAATAATTCTGGATTGTTCTTATTGTATTTTGAGACATAGGGTTTGTTCGACGTTACGTTTTTTGGATTTCGTAGTTGGTCTAGAGATTTTTTTTCTGCTAGTTCAAAACCTTTGTTTATTAGTGTTGTTGGGTAGCCTCGTTTTTTTTAGAGTTCTATATAGTTAGGCGAGTTTTGCTGAGGTGCTTGTCAGTCGCTATAGTGCAAACCCTACGTGCCAGGGAATAGGGGATGGATTTCAAACAGCTTTTTGGGTGATAGCTCTTGAAATGATTGTTGGGTGTCGGTAGTTTTTTTTTCTGTTTCTAATGAGTATATCAAAAATGGTAATTCATTAAAATTATATTCTTGGGTGAATTTGATTTTTGAGTATAAGTTCTGAAGTAGAGTGTGGAATTGGTTAATATCACCCTATGAGGATTTCCAGAATATGAAGCAATTATCTAAGTATCGTTTCCACGATTTAGTGAAGTGGGTTTTTACATTTTCCCCATATATTTGTTCTATCTTTTCATATAGGTTTTACTCTAGGCAAGTTAATTTTAGGGGTGGGGGCATATGTAGGCACCATTGTTGTTCCCATTGCGGTACCTAGGGTTTGGATATAGTTTCTATTGTCAAACTCAAAAACGTTATTGTTTAGAATTAGGTCTATACTATCGATAATGAATTCCTTAGTAAATCTGGGATGTAGTGTTTCTGGGTGTTTTTCATTCCAGAATGAGATTGCCTGTTTACCTAATTCATGAAGTATGTTGCTATATAGACTACTGACGTCAAAATTAGGCATACGTGTTCCCGAATCAACTTTTTGTGGTATGGAGCTAACGAGGTGAATATCATCTCTGACGTAACTTTTAATCTGCTTAGTAAATGGTTGTAGTATTGTGTCTATTAAATTACCGAGTCTGTTAGTTGGACAGGCTGGTCCTGCTACTATGGCTCTGAATATAAGGTCAGTGGGATTTAGGGTGTTAATGTATTCAGATTGGGACTGGATAGCCGCTTTTATTTCACTCGATTTGTGAATTTTTGGTTGTCCGTAGAAAATACTTATATACCTTTATTAGAAAATTCTTTCCTTTATTTATTTATTTTTTTTTTTTTTTAATATTTTATTATATGTTGCACAGAGTTTTGTAATTTTTTATATAATATTTTTATCTATGTTGGTGTCGATTAATTTTTAGTTGTTCTTATCCCCTAGTGCTTCTAGAATTTTTGTTTTTATAGTATATTTTGTCCATGATCACTATAGCTCTGCCTTTATCTGCTTCCTTTATAATTATGTTATTTTTACGGATGATCTCTAAGGCTTATCTTTGTATGTATGATTGTTGAATGGTTTGAATTTTTTTTGTAGATCGTGTTTCCAGAGTTTTTCAAAAAATATATGTTCATCTCATTTGTATTACTATTTCTGTTTGGGAAGAATTTGGGTTTTCTTGGCATTCTATTTCGTCTATTCTAACAGGTGTGATTTGTTAATTTGTTTTGGGTTAATTTATTTTGCTTATTTTATTGTCATTTTGTTTATTTATTTATTTTTTTTTTTTTTTTCCTTTTTTCGATTTTTAAGTTTTTCAAAAAAATCGAAAACGGGAAAAAAAAATCAATAACAAAAAAAAAATCAATGAACCCAAATAAATAAAGTAAATAATAAACAAATTAACAAACCATTATGACCAAAATATTAGTTAGAAAAAAAAACAAAAAAAACAAAAAAAAAATCGAACGAGAAAAATAGCTATAACTGTTATATAACGATAAAAAATACTACGTTACTTGAAAATCGAAAATCGAAAATATACAGTATAACAAATAAATAATAACAAGTAAAATAAATTGATCTAAACTCATCCAAATAAATAAATAAACTAACCGTTAGAAAAAAAAAACAAATAAATATAATCAATCCAAATAAATACATGAAGTAATAAACAAATTAAAAACTGTTCCCGCCAAAATAATAGTTAGAATAAAGTACAACAATCAACCCCAAAATTGAATAAATAGCTTTAATTATCTTCCCAAACCAAAACAAAACTATTAAATAAGCGATATAAACAAATTTTTACTACCGATTACACCGATTAAAATAAAAAATTTAATAAATAAATAGATAAATATATAAGATAAGAAATAAAAATAAATAAAAACAAGTAAAATAATTTAACCAAAATAAATAAA